CAAGGACATGGCAGCGGACTGGAAGGAAATAGTGATGTGGTCAGAACATTGAAACCAGTGACAGGATTAAAAGGAAATTTTCCCCATCTTCAAATGTTTTATTCTTTTCAGCATTTTCTCCAACAAACAGTTCCCACCTTACGGTTAGAGACAAAGAACACAGATCTGTGGGCTTCCTCTGAAGTGGCTGCACCCTCCATGCCTGCACCTCTCCAAAGTTGCTCTTTTCTGCTCACTGCCGCGTGGAGCCTCATTTCATTTCTTACACAACATGTTCTCACCAGAATCAAGAGCAGCAACAGAATCACTCCCAATGACATTCTGTGTGAACAGAGCGGAAAATCGGCCACCTGTGTCTCCCACAGCCACCTTCTACTGACACCAGAAAGGAGCATCTTAGGAACTGGGAACTGAGAACTCTGGGGAAGCTTCCCTGCTCTGTCGCAAACTCCCACTGCATTTGCTTCCCACTGGGCCCCATTGCCAGTCTTTCCCTTAAATGACAGCCAGCCAAGCCTCGAGCTCTCGCATGAACCGACCATTAACTTTCACTCAAGAGAGAACAGAGTTTGCCAGGATCCCCAATGCCCCCATTTTACAGACGAGGCAGAGAGAGGCTCAGGGACTGCCCAAGGTCCCAGGCAGGAAAGGATAATGCTCAAGCAGGAGCCCAAGCAGACTGACATCAGGAGCCATGCCCCGAGCACTCTGGTTGTACAGTCAGAGAGCAGTCATGCGCAGAACGCACATCTGCACATGTCCGTGTCACCATCTAGCACACACGGCAGTCATGGCCACACATGTGCCTTGGGAATGGACGCGGGTGCTATCCAAAGGAAGCCTTCACTATCAGCCCAGTGCACGGTCCCTGCCAACAGCCATGGTGGGCAGGCCCAAACCCTGTCCCAGAGTACCTCTTCTGCTGGTAGCTTGTTTCACTGCTTATTGTCTCTCTTTTTAAAAGGCAGACAACCAGCTGAACGTTGTCTAAAGGTCATGACATTTCCCGTGGCCTCAGATATCTTTGCAAGGTTTCCTGGGATCAGGGTCACAACGCTGGCTGGCATTTAAGAGAACCCATGCTGTTTTTTTCAGGGCTTCCCTTTATCTCATCATTTCTGGCTCTTTTTCCTTGAACAGTCAATAAATAACAAACCTCAGCGATGCATCCCAATCGGCTTGAGGACAGTGACCTGGGTGCCTGTCAGACACCCAAACTCTGGAGGTGGCTTACCCGAGGTCCAGGAGTGGGGCTCAGGGATCAGGGTTCCACCTACGCCCAGAGATTCTGGGTAGCAGATAAATTTAGAAAACATGGGGTTAATGGTTAACCTCACTCACCAGACCTGTCATATGATCTTGGACCTATTTGCTGTAATTTCCCTCGATATTCAATATTCGATTATTCTTGCCAAAGAAATGAGATAGTGATCTAGATGGCTTCCCAAAGATATCCCCTGGGGCATAGGAAAAAAGTTACAAAACTTGTATTTATGTTTACTTTTTTATTTTAAAAAAGGTATTCACTTTATGCTACTTAATACAAGGGCTGGTCCCAGTCAGGGTATCCCCTCCCCCGCTCAGCCTGACCCAGTGACCTGTGGGCTCTGCCGGGAGTGGGGACTAGGGTGAGCAACCAGGGAAGCCCTGTGCCCCCAAACCTCTCAAAATGGGGACGAGGGGCATCACTGCTAAGCCAAGGCAGTGACCTACTTGGAAAGTGGACACTTTAGAGATGAAGTCCCAGAGACCTGGGCGTGGTGCCACTGAGCTGCCACTATGCCACGGGAGAACCTCATGAAGACTGGGGCTTAGCTCAGAGCCTGCAAGGAGGGGCCTCCTGAGGACACAGACACTGTCCACTGCAGAATCCAAACCCCAGCAAATCCAGTCTGCTTCTGAGAGCCACAGGATGATGAAGGAGCTGTTTTTGTTGGCCTCCTAATTGGAACCCCTCTAAATAAGGGAAATGGGTAACAGAGCCAGGAGCAGACCGAGCACAGTTTGTACACTGACACAGGTACAGGCTGGAGGGTTGACCCGCACACAGTGTTCTGCTTGCCATCGGCCTGTGGGTCACTGTCACACTGAGGGTCCTCTTCTGAAGCAATGGAGATTCTGCTCCCTAGAGAAAGCCACTCCCCTTTCCAGTGGCCCATTCTAGGGCTCAGCAGGGATGCTGAACAGTCAGTCCACAAGCACAGGTACCTGGGACCTGACCCAGGCTTCTCGCTGATCTGGCTGGTCTCTCTGGACAAGTGGGGCTCCTTGGAGGCTGGCAGACCACCTGGGCATCATGGGGCTGCGAGAAGATGCTTCCAGAACCTGACTCACAGTAAGGACCCATAACACTAATGCCTTGCATCTTAGGGAGATTCGAGGCACCTTAAGTTCGAGTGTGTCCACACTGAAATACTCTACGAGTCCAGCAACCCTCGCAGTTACAGTCCCTATGCCACTACTGTCTCTGGAGTTCAGGGGTCTCCTTGTGCTGAGTGCTTCATGGAAAAGTCCCGATGAGCATCCTCAGAGGCATCTGGCCCTGTCTCTACCTCCTCATTCTAACTCTACTTCATCTAAACCCAGAGACAGCACAGGAATGACCATGTGAATAGAAACACATGCCACATCCACAAAGCCCTAAAACCAAAAAGCTCACTTACCCAGAACCCAACAAGGTGGACATCACCACTGTCCACCTGCAGGGGCTGAAGATGGCATTTGCCTAATAGCACAAAACATGTTAGAACTATTCTCATCTCCTTGCTAAAAACCTCCCAGACACTTAACCATGTCATACTATGAATAACACTATTTCCTCAAAAATGTGCTATGTCACAAAACCACCTTCCTCTTAAAATTGGAATTGAGTGGCACCCTGCCACCATTAGTGGTCCCCAAAAGTCAACACATCAATGATAAAAATATTTCTTTTGATAGTAGCGCGGCCACTGCCAAACCAAGGCATTTCAGAGATGGGCACAGAGCAGTTGAGCAACCAGGACAGAGGATTACAGTGTATCTGGATACTCAGTCCCACATGCACTTGATCTCGTCTCAGACAGATGCTCCGAGCCCCTCAGTAGCTAAGGAGCTCAAGATGCAGAAACAGAAGAGGTGAGCCTGCTAGTAGGGGTCCCTCCACCATGCAGTGCAACTGAGATTTCCCAGGCTAATGACCCACACTTACTTCCTGGCTAATTTTCAACGGTGTACACAGCAGCAAAAGAGAACTCCCTAAGTGAGTGGGTTGGGGTGGGATCAAGCCAAAGCAGTGACAGATTCAGCTCTTTTTATCCAACCAGGATGTTTAAAAAAACAAAGGCTTATATTTTCAAACTAGAGGCCCGGTGCACAAAATTTGTGCAGGGATGGGAGGTTGTCCCTCAGCCTGGCCTGCATCCTCTCACAATCCGGGACCCCTTGAGTAGGGTCCCTAGGCCTGGCTAGTAATCAGGGTCTATCAGGGCTTTCCTTCCCTTGGCTGCCAACAGCTGACCCCGCCCCCGCTGCTGCCACTGCTTGCCACCCGGCATAGCTGCCCCCCCTCCCCCACCACCGGTCACCTCCCTCTACAAGCGACAGGTGTCGGGTGCGATCACTTGGCTGGCCTAGGTCTCCCTCTGCAGGGCGATCACTGGCCGGCCTCGCCCACCCGCTGCAGCGCCACCAGCCAGGTAGCCTGGGCCTCCCTCTTTGGGGCGATTGTGGAGCGCCCCCCCCCCCCAATGGATCACCCTGCTGGCTCGTGGCCTGGGCCTCCCTCTGCTCCCTCTGCGGAGCGATCGATCATGAAGCGATGGCGGGACCCCTCAACCAATCACATCGCACCCGCCTTGGCTGGCCTGGCGCCCGTGCGTGTCATAGCGTGGTCGTCGGGAAGGTCATCCGGACAGCCATTCTGCTGTTCGGTCGTTCAATCGATTTGCATATTACACTTTTATTATTATAGATATAGTAACTGAATGAAGAGCAGGTCCTCACTGTAGAGCCTCCTCAGTGATGCACTGTAGTTAGCCACGGGCCTTGTGTGGCTTCTAACATTAATTAAAATTAAATAAAACGTAAACTTCAGCTCCTCAGTCACACTAGAGGCATTTGAAGTGCTCGACAGCCACAGCAGGGAGTGGGCAGCTACAGATCATGTCCACCATGGTAAAGTTCTGGATTAGCGGCCAAAGTCTCCTCTTCACAAAGCAACCATTGTTCCCAGTGTCTTCCTCTTCCCTCAAGTGAGCAGAAAAAACTGCTGTTCCTGACTCTGTCCTATAAACGTGGATTGAGCCAGACTGAGTCTCCTGCAAACAGCAAAGAGCACAGCTCTGGGCCCCAGTGAGCCTGGGAGCTGTAGAAAAACCCGATCTCCCCTCACCAGCTCTTACAGAGTTTTTCCAAACAGCCCTTCCTTCCTCCCTGTTCCATGACGGCACAATGCTGATGGGGAGAAACGAAGGAGAAGGAAGAGCTGGAGTCCCACGCTGCTCCAGAGGGGCTGTAGGGTGCTAGGACAGGGCCCTCTGCTCCACGCCTCTCTCTTCATTGGAGGGTTATATTTAAAAACAAAGCAGCGCAGGGCCTAAGGCTGGGATGTGACAGGTCTTCCCAGTGATGACCAAGGGCCACTGCTTGGACCAGGGTGCAGGGGCCTTGAGGGCCAGGGGTTCTTGGCCCAGTGGTAAGAAGGCCAGGTCCTCCACACCTTTGCAGCAACGCCCCTCTTGTCTAGAAAATTCAAACTCGGTGCTCTGTCTCATGGCACTTCACACGACTTACTACTGAATCCAAACAAGCTGTTGTAATGGAGAATGAGCCTGTCAGCCCCTGACTTGGCCACACTGGTCCTGCAAACCTGCTGGGGTGGGTGTTTCAAGTTCTCTTAAAACAAGCAAAGTGGACTAAGGATGTCTGAGCCTTCCATGTTCTCTCCCATAACCACTGATTTAGGAACTGTGGCACTCATTTCTACAGTGTCACACTCTGTCCTGTCACGATTTCTGCCGCTCTCTTCCGATGTTCACAGCAATCTGAACATAAGGCCCTAGTAGCAGCATAAGCAAAGATCCTGCGTCCATAGAAGCAGATGGCCACACCATGAGCTGGGAGAAGCCAAAGACAGCCGGCTGTCTCCTGAGGCCCTGACTGAGCTGGACCCCAGCAACAGCCCCCACCTGGGAGATGACCCTGGGCAAGTCTCACCCTCTCCGGGCCTCACTTTCCTCATCTGTAAACTACAGGTCATAAACAGACCTACCTTTATAGGTATGTTTTGAGCATTAAGAAATTTAATGAATGCATTTAGCATGGGGCGTAGCACCCAGAAAGGTACACCATGAATATGATCATCTAATAGAGGAAGGTGTGGGAACCCAGAGAGACAGGTGTCCACACGGGGACTAGGAGCCACAGACCCTACCCTCCTCACGGGGCTTGTTCACAGGGACACCGATGGCAGTAGAACCCGAGTGGTATTTAGCACAGGTTTTCCCAATAAGAATGTCACACTTCCATGAGGCTGTACAGCAGCCTTGGAGGGTGGGGTCCCAGCCAAGGTTTCTGTTTCCAGGGGGTTTTCCTGGCGAAGGAGGAGTCTGCAGGTCCCTCTCGCTCAGCCAGCATTTGTGAATTTAGATAAGAGTGAAACACGTGGCCATGAACCCCAGTGGCTGTTGCTTCCAGCGAGGGAGCCTCGCTTCACTGCTGACCTAGGTGAGTTTACTTGGCACATTTGAAAAGGACACAGATCTGTGTTCATGGTGCATTCAAGCAGAGCATGGTGAGGAGGTTGCTGGTGTCCCAGGAGAAATGAAGCACTTTCCTGCAGCTGGCACAGGGGCTGGGCCAAGGACATCTAGAGCATCCAAGTGCCCATGTTTGGGAGCTGCTGTGTGCTGGCAGCAACCTCGCCCCACGGACCTGTGCTCCCCACAGGTCTGTATGTGTGGCCCGTAGTCTGCTTCCTGTCTTGAGACCAAGCCCCTCACCGCTGAAACATGGATCTCCTTCACTCTTAAACCCAAAACCTTTGCACAGAGGCCAAGAAGGTGGCACAAAGCCACTGCTCATCCCTTCGCAGTTCAAAGGCTCTAGGTTTATTCCTGGTAGCAAGGCAGCAGGTCCCTCAGAATGATACTCTTTGGTTAATAGCAGAGCATGGGAACCCTAAAAAGTGTTCATCATACCGAGCTTATACTTTACCTTCAGGCCAGGCTTTGCTGCAGCTTCCAGAGGCCACCCTCACCGGTCCTTTGGGGCACTGAGCCTGTAACAGTGGATAAAAGGCGAGGCGTGCACTCCCAGCGCTCACCAAGGAAGCGCTCCACCACCCTGCCTGACGTATGGTTTCTATTTCATACCCCTGTTGTTACATTACATAACAAGCAGACGATACTCAGATACTCGGATCGCCAGACTTGGCTCAGGACTCTCGGTGAACGCCTCAGAGCACTGCTGTTTATCCCGAGCCACGAATGCTCACCCAACCAAATTTAGCGTGAAAGCCGCACCATCCAAGCTCAAAGTCAGCACTTACAGCTCATGCCCTCAGCAGCAAAAAGACACCACCTGCTTCGTACCTTTGATTGAAATCATTCCATTCTGAATTTCTACCTCTGGTGCCACATTCAAATGTGAGGAAAGGATGAGTTTTCTGTGGCCTGGAGTTCATCTTCCCAGGTCTGGAAAGAGGCCTCAGCCTCCAACAGGTTCAGGAAGGTGGTCGCACATGGGTTGGGGACAGATCGGATAACAAAGGCCAGGAGTCCCTGCCACCACGGGGACATGTGTGGTACCAACCCAGGGGGAAGAAGGCTATCAAGGCACCCAAAGGGAGCACACTGCTGTGAGTATCCTGAGAGCTCTGGAGCCTTATGTGGGGGCAGCGCCCGCCCTCCCCTCGGCTTACTGGGGAGGCTGTGAGGGCATTCGCTAGGAACACAGGCTAAGCGCACCTCAGGCCATGCACAGGGCTATGGGAGCACGGAAGTAAAAAGCCTCTGCGAGCACATGCTCCTCCCTGAAGCTGCCCTCCCAGCTGCCTGCAGTCTGAACCTCACTCACCTGAGCCTGGGGGACGTGGCAAGGCAGTGTGAGGGGCCAGGAACACAGAGGTTCTCCAGAGTGGCCGGAATGGCCCACAACCTGATCAAGAAGAACCTGGCTCCATGGTAGAGGTAGACACCTGACAGCTGGCCCCTGGGGGGCTTCGTGCAGGTAGAAACTGAACTACTAACCTCAGACAGGGGCCCAGAGCAATGACTCAGCTGCGGGGCAAACTGTCCTTCCTGGGGGGATGCGAGAATTCAAAATGTTTTCTTATTAATACACAGCCATGCAAGGCTGATGTGAGGGGCAGAAGTCATGAGCCAGTGGACCTGGGGTCTGGTCTGTCACCACGTGCGGAGCGCGGGTACTTTCCATCTCTCCCCACCCCACCCCACCCCCACTCCCCACTGGGTTCCAGTCTTGAGGACACAGATCACTCTAACTCAGCAGGTTTGAGATCCACTCCCCTGGCCCCACCAGGGACCTTGGACAATTGCTGGGGAGAAGCTACTTCAAGTATGATAGGAAAAAATTGAGCAAACAGTGGTCCCAAACAGTGGTCCCAAACACAGCAAGGACCGACCCTGCTGCCATGGAGCAGATGAGAGAAGAGCTGTCAGGATCCCACTCACTGGGAGGGGCTTGTGGAAGATGTCATGTAAATATATGGTTGTTTTCCTAATTTGGGGTTCTTCCTGTGGAGTGTGCTGTCCTTTCTCATCATGTTAATGTGAGTAGGGCAGGGGCTAAAGGAACAGCAAGGAGAGTCAAAATAAAATTCAACAGAAGAGGCCAGGCCAGGCTTGCTGCATGCAAAGCAGGACCTGAGGAACAGCTTTCTCTGAAACAGACCCGACATAAAGGGCTTTCACCCCACCCTATGACCTAACACCAGGATCACTGCTGCCCCTCATGAGTTAGCCATGTCCAAGGCCACAACCTTCCTGACTTTAATCTGCCTGCACCAACATGGGTCATAGACTAAGAAATGCCCTTCACCATTCAGTGGGCCAGCAGCTGTCTGGACAAGTAGGGACCTGTGACTTCACGCAACACTCTTCAAGCATGACTGGGCACCGAGTGTCGGGTCCTGCTCTTAAGGAGCTTTCTGTCTGGGATAGTCAGACCAAAACAGAAAAGTCACTTTAAGGCAAAGAGTAAACAGACCCTCTGCCCTCAGCAGCAGGGTCCCCACAGAGCTCTGTAGGTCTGGAGGGTACAGGCACGCTTGTTTGAGCATCAGGGTCAACCACAAACTTTTACCTAAATAGTAAGGTGGGAAGATGGATCCAGCCTGCTAACGCCCTGGCCCTGGCGGCCAGCCCAGGCCTGCGAGCCCAACTCCCTCTGGACCTCCCTTGGATGCCCTGTCTCCCAAGGGGCCCTCCCGCTGACCCAGGCGTGGCAGGTCCCACCTCCCTTCCTAGTCCTGCCTATAGCAGGTTCGGATTCTTTATCACACTCAGTACAAGTCTGAGCTGTCTGTTGACAAGGATGGAGCCAAGAGTTGCACCTGTCTGTAAACCCGGGGCAGCTCCCAGAAACCAGAGAACCCCATGCCTCTGTGGATCGGTGGCACCAGGCAGCTCGGGAGCCTTAGGGACTAGCACCACCACACTTCCCAGGTCTGTGGCCGTGCTCTGCCCACCCATTTGCCCACCTCTCCTTCCTGGGCACACAAATCTGAGTGGAGCAGCTCCTGAGCCTCCATGTCCCAGTTCAGTCACCATAGGCAAAGGTGCCCTTCCTCAGCTGCAAGGAAAGACTCCCAGGGAAGGGCTAGGGCACCCATGCCTCAGGCAGGGGGCAGGACACTCTTTCCTTGGGATGGGGATGGGTCTCTTATAAACAGAGAGAGAGAAAAGAAACCAGTGCCCAGGACAGCCCTCTGTGCCTGTGGCTTGTTTGAGAGCACAGAGTCGCTGCCTGAGCCCATGGGCCAGGGACCTGAGGAGAGGGAGCCCACAGATGTCTGACCTGTGGCTGCACTCCCTATGGCTGCCTTTCCCCAGGAAGCTGGGCCTGGGCTCAGGGCAAAGGTGTTCACCACCATGCTGAATCAGCCACTGAGAGAGAACGAATCCCTACCAGGCCACATCGCAAACCACCCCACACTTGTCTCTGCCACAGATGCTGACGGTATTTACCTAAGTTGAGAAGCATCACCCAGGCCTGGGTGAACTTCCTGGCTCAAAGTTTTCTGCTAGGTCAGGCAGTGTTAGTCCACGCCACAAAGAAAAGAGTCTCAGAGTAGTAACCCCTCGGCAGCCTGGTGGCCCCACAGCCTGGCAGCGCCTGGTCCACCCGGGGCTCCCAGAACTCCCAAGCACCCTGCCGCCTTCACAGCCTGCGAGTAAACACAGCGGTGTGGACAGCACGCTGGCTCTGCATCATGTCGCAATGTTGGCACCAGCAGTGCACGCAGACTGCAGGCAGCCAGCCTGGCTGTTGTCTCAGGCAGCATGTCACGGGCACACCCAAAGTGGGATGGATTGTTCTGAGCCCTCGTCAGCTGTCTGATCCACACACACAGCACTAGCTTTCCTCCTGGGTATCAGGGGAATGCGAAAGCCTGAGTGTAGCCAGCAAGCTGGAACTATCAGAGTCAAGGAAGGAAGTGACACTGAGCACTACAGCCTCTGTAGGAACAAGCCCTGTAATCACTTCACAGGTAAGGGGGCGGCGATGGGGGAGGGCAGGCTGGCCTCCAAAACCACACAGGGGACTCCATGTTTCTGTTTTAAACCAACAATAAGAAACACGTTTTCACTGCATTTTCACACAACATGCCGAGACTTGCTAATAACAGTCCCACAGATGAGGACACCGCAGCTTCTCCCCAGGGTGACCCAGCAAGGACCTAGGCCAGGCCAGCCTCATCCCCATCCCCAGGTGACTCTGGGCCTCTCCTGGAACAAAGAGTTAAGAAAAGGTTACTTTACAAGTCCCCAAAGCCAAGATCCTGTGGTTCCCTCAAGCACTAAAGTAACACTTGGGGGCTGGGGAGACTGTTAGATAAAATCAATAAAATTCCTGATGAAAACTCCAAAGTCACAAGTTCACAGCCTGTTTTCTCAGTTTGGATTTGAGGGATCTCAGCAGTGAGATAAAACTGTCACCATCAAAAAGCACCAGAAGCCATCCATCCTCACTGCTGGCCTAATGCACCACCTCCTTGGCGAGGACCAAGTAGGGGCACCACCCTGGCATGGACTGCATACCAGACCTGGCAGGCAAGCCCTGGGCAGAGTGGCATGGAGTTGAAAGACACTCACCAGGACTCCAGCAATGGCTCCTCCTAAGAGACCTCATTGCCATCGCCACCTCTGCCCTGGGCTCCTAGGACTCTGTCACATGGCTAGGAGCACTGCCATCTCTCCCTGCATGCCAGGAGGCAAACACACAGCCACCCTTCCCTAACCGTGCCCTCAGGGAATGCGGCCCTGCACCTGCACCTCCACTGTGCTCACCAAGGAAACAAAAGATGCCCGCGCAGCACGCACATACCAGCTTTCACAGTTTGCCCTTTCTTCCTCAACTGTCTGAAAAGATAGTAAAATCCAGGAGGAAAAAATTCCCCTATTGTCCTCCATCTGAAGCAAACACTCAGCTGTTATTTAATTTTGTTAAGAAAAATGGACCACCGGGTTGCTGCAGAGGAAACTCAAATTCATTCTTTCATGTGTCAACTACAATGAAACCTGCACATTCGCCTTCTACTAAAACAGAAAACTGCATGTGGAGCCAGGACCATGGGGGTCTTGCCAGTGTGTCCCAAGGACACACAGTTAATTCTTCTGTGATGGTCTTTCAAGACAGTGGCCCTCAGCTCTGTCCTGCAGCACCAACAACAGAAATCTTGCATCGTCACTCTGTCCTGTCCCTGAGGACACCACTGGTGAAATAGAGACAGGGCTTCAGTGGAAGGCAGGGCCCTTGGGCCAAGGCCCAGGCTACCAAGGTTGACAAGAGCAGGAAACCTTGGGCAAACCAGGCTCCTTCTGGGCGTTTTCATCTATAAAGTAAAGTTTTACATTCCTCCCAGTTCTGACCTGTGAGGATGGAAGTGCTAATAGCTCGAAAGTGCTCGGTCCCCTGAGCTCCTCTGCACCATGTTGCCGGGACATTCTGAGGGCTATAGGCTGGTGGTAAGAAGTCCATTTGCTAGGCGTGAGCTCTGTGCCTAGGAATGTGGAGAGGGGAGGTTGGAAGCTCAGTCTCCTATCTAACCTCTTCCTCGTCCAGGCACACAGATGTGCTGAGCAGCAGAGGCCGCCTTCTGCTTGGATTCACTTCATTTTCAAATATACTCTTATTGGAAAACAACAATCACTTGACAAAACCAACTGATGTAAGTGTCCCTACCATAGCCAGTGACTAATTATAGCAGCATAAAAGTAAGGGGCTTAGAGCCCAGAGAGGATGCCCACGGGGAGTGTTGCAGGCAGATGTGCCCAGTGGTCACACCGGAACCTTCTCCTCCCTGAAGACACAAAGATTGGGACTGGCTTTACATCAGTGTGACTGTTAAAATAGAGCTTTGATATAACAGTTTGGACTCTGCATAAGCTATCAGTATGCCAACAACAGAAATTATTCACAGTCTTCTACATCGTTTAACAGATACAGGGCCAGGCCCTCACAGCCTCGCATCATGTGCAGATAGAGTTTATTTCTTGGGAAAAGAAGTGCCCTTAAGAGAAAGCCCACTCACAGTGCTGGTGACAGTGCATGGAGAGGCCTGGGTGAGCCATGTGGTGGCAAGACAAGCCTTCTACACGGGAGCTGAGTGAGAGTAAAGGAACTCTCAGAAGGCAAGAACTTGGGGGGTCAGAGGGAAAGGGTGTGGAAGCCAGGGCCTGTCTTAAGGCTGTCCTGGGGCCACTGCCTGGGCTGTAGCTCACTGGGTCACTGTGAAAGGCCACCACACAGGAGACCACACTGGGGCCCAGAGAGGGGCACTGGGCCTGTGGCTCCCTTGGGGAGAAGCTGGGAAATGGCACTGCTGGAGGGACGTGCCCATGTCCAGATTTGACCACTGCTGGAAGGAGGCAGGTCAAGAAAGAAGACTCCCACCCTGGCTGGTTTTACTCAGTGGTTACAGCGTTGGCCCTCAGACCAAAAGGGTCTTAGGTTCCATCCCTGATCAAGGACATGTACCTCAGTTGAAAATTCCCCAGCCCCAATAGGTGTGCGTGCAGGAGGCAACCAATCGATGTGTTGTCTCTCACCTTGATATTTCTCTCCCTCTATCTCCCCCTCCTCCTTCCCTTCCACTCTCTCTAGATATCAATGGAAAAAATATCCTCGAGTGAGGATTAAACAAGAAAGAAAGAAGACTCCTCTAAGAATCCATCACCAGAGGTCACTTGGAGAGGGTTTAGGGAGAAGCCAGATGAGCCTGGAGATGACCAGGCCTTGCCTTGGCACTGGGCAGAAACACGTACATCTGCCCTGCACAAGTGTGCTATCAACCCCAAAGAATGTCTGTAAAACATTCTCAGGGCATAAAGTCACAATCAAAAATCACAAATCAGAAAACCCAGAGAGTGGGAGTTTAGCCAAGACAGACTTCAGTTATAGGAAATCTGCTCTAACCATCTCAGCACATCTCAGCCACAGGCCGGAGAACAGCAGTGTTGTGCAAGGGTCACACTGAAGCAGGCGACTGTCCAGGACTATCGCTCAGTAGCTGCACAGCCCTGGGCCCCCTCAGCCTCTGTGCTCAGGACCTCATCTGCCAGGAGTGGCTGTAACAGCCAAGCCTTCCCCTGAGGAACATGTAGGAGCAGATGAAATTATGTGGTAGCTGTTATCACTAATATAAAAAAAGCAGACACATTTGACAATGATCCAAATAGAACTTGTAGAAATGAAAACTATAATAATTAAAATTTAAATGAATGAGGTAATCAATTAGGTAGAGCTGAAGAGAGAATTGGTGAACAGTAAAATGGTACTAAGGAAATAACCCAGAATGCAACACAAAAAGAGAAGGCCATAAAAAGTAAGAGAGGCTGGGGGGGTTGGGGCAGAGGAAGTACACTAACATGCATCTGTCAGAATTCAGGAGAAGAGAGAGACAACAGACAGAGACACACGAGATAAACGAATGAGGACTACAGAAGCATTCAGAGAAGAGCCATGAGCCCTCCCACACATGAAATATCCTAAGAAGCCCCATGCTAGAGAGTGTAGGACAGGCTCATAACCAGGCAGAAGGGCCAGGCAGATGGGCCAAGCCCATGGACCAGGCTCATGGAGCTCCAGTCTTGACAATCACTGTGATGAGCAAGGCTGCTTCTTCGGTGGTGCTGGGACAACTGGAAGCCACTTGGGAAAAGATAAAACTAGATCCAGATCTCACACACAGGAGCACACCCTGCACGACTCAGGGACCTCACTGTAAGGCAGGAAAGCACATGAGCTCCAAAAGAAAACATGGCCTGCAACTCAAATCCAGATGCACTTAAAAGAAAAAAGAAAAAAACTCTAAGTCTGAACCATGGTGGGGAGGGGCTTACATGGCAAAAGAAATACATACTATAAAGAATTCAAAAAACAATAGACAAACTGGGAGAAGTTGCCTGCAATGTATCTCACAGATAAAAGCTAATATTACTTATGTATAAAGACTCTTAAAAATTGTGAAAAATCAAATCCATACAAAAAAACAGGCCAAATGCATAAAAGAAAAAAAAAAAAGGCTACACTGAGACTGCATTTCTTATCTATCAGAGTGGCAAAAAAAGTAACCTCCTCTGCTCTTTAGACCATGTGGGAACAGGCATGCTCGTACGTTGCTGGTAGGAATGCAAATTGGTACAAGCTTCATACAGGAAAATTTGGCAGAATCTAACAGAATTGTATATTTCTCATTGTCTGATAGGAATCCCTTCTGTAAAGGAAGTCTGAAGATACAACCCGACAACAGGAAAGTGCATGGGCATGACCTTACCCACTGAACACTGGTCTGAAGGGCCAATGCTGTCACCTGCCCTGATGTCTGAGTGTAGGACAGAGCAGATGGGACTGTCAGAGACAATGAGGAGCAGTTCTGTAGAGGGAGGGGAAGGTTTCCAGGACAGGCTGAGTGAGAAACCAAATGCAGAAGAGCCACCTATAGGAAGTTCCGGTTGCACAAGAAAGAAGCAAAACGAAGTGCATGTGTTTGCTCAATTGTCCAGAGGGGACTCAGGAGGCCAAGGGTGGGGCTGGGGTGGACCAGGGAAGGACAGAAGCATGGCAGGATGGGGGACGCCACCTCTTGAGCCTAGTTTCCCATACAGTTAGAACTTTAGGAACCACACTCATATCTCATGCACTCGAAAAATGAAAATAAATAAAATTTAAAAAGATGAGGGAAAAACTCGAAAACGAAATACAAACAGAAACAAATGAACCAAACCACATATTAAATGGATATTAAATAAGCACACTGGGGCAGGGTGGAGGGAGTGAGAGCTGTCCGAAGTGGCTTTGGGATGTGGTATTTGGGCTATATTTGGACTACACACCTTAAACAAATGCTGAACTCTGGATAGTGGAGTTTTCTCACAGAGGTGTAGATTATTTTCTGTTGTGCATTCTAGGAGCTGAGTATCTCAGTGTGGGAGGAGGGAAAACAAACATGCAGAAGAAAGACAATTAATGAACCTGCTGAGCTGAATTGTAACTGGAGGGATCAGTGTGAGCTCATGGGCTCATATGCACCCACAGTCACAGATGGAGATGGCAGGGTGTTATATGAAGGGTGTTGTGCAGTATGTGTGGTGTAGTGTGTGTTGTGGGGTGTGTGGTGGTTGCTGTGTGGTAGTTGTTGTGTGGTATGTGTTGTGTGGTGTGTGTGTGCACAAAAACATCCATTTCCCAGCTCTGTCTGTGAGAGGGCCTACAAGCAATGAGCACATCCAGCACACAGAACTTGCTTTTTAAACACCAGCCTCTGAGAAAGGAACCAGGCCTCATGGGAGCAGCAGCAGACTCCAGGGCAGGGCAGGGGGCACAGGAGAGACCAGACCATTTTCTTGCACCAGAGAATAAAGAGAGGCTCTAAAGTGTTGGGGACCTGCCAGAGGAGCAAACATGAAGGGGCAATAGGGCACCAGAATAGATAATAACAGGATTATAACCCAGTGAATAAAATAAGAATCCACAAGATGAGTAGACAAAAAGGAAGAAAGGGAAGTTCTGTGCAGCAGAAAGCCCACTAGTGAATGCAGTGAGAATGACAGCCTCAGACCGCACTGTCCAGTACCAACATCCCAATCACAGACTCAGGCCTGAAGCACCAATGGATGGGTCAGTGCTGCAGGTCAGTGCTGCGGAGTAACAAGGATCAGTGCAGTCCCCAAGTATCTCCCCACAAGGTGTTGGTGAATTACAAAGGGAAAAATAGTAACTTCAAAAAGAGTAACTTCACAGAGAAGAAGTCTGGCAGTACCCCCTTAACCAAGTGGCCAGAGTCAGTGTCCTCACAGCAGGCCAGGTGGAAATGCGGCCCCTGGACATGACATGCTGGCAAACACATCACTTTGGGCTCCAGCCCCAAAGGGATCACCTGAACCTAATCATGAGGAACACTAGAAAATCAAAATCTGAGGGAAATTTTACAAAATAGCTCCCTGTACTTTATGTCCTGCCATAAAACAAAGACTATACGACTATTCCAGATTAAAGGAGGCATGGGGACATGCAGGACCCGGGACTTGCTCGGGAGATGGAAGGTGGCATTAGGACAACAGGCCAAGTATGAGTAGGGCCTGTGATTGGATGACAGCACTGCTTGCTGGTGACCTCCTAATACTAACCATGTCCGGTGTGGCCAATGGGACGCTGCCCTTGCTTTTGGGTGATACCTGCCGGATGAGCTGGGGCGAAGGGCAGCATCTTGCCCACTAATCTCCAATGGTCCTGAAAGAATTATTTGCATAAATAAATGTATAAAAGTAATTCTTTGTACTGTTCTTGCAGCTTTTCTGTAAGTCTGAAATTATAGCAAAATTAAAAGGAAAAACAGAAAGACTTAAGGGCTAAAAGCTCCCCAGAATTTTTGAAAGACAATAATCTCTAGATTCAAGAAGGCCAAGAAGTATCAAGACAGATAAGTGAAAACCTTAGTAAAAATGCTTAGAAGACTAAGACAGATTGTAAAAGCACCCAGAGAAAAAGGGCAGGACTACACCAATGTGGAACTCTGCACAGTGACAGTAAAATTTAATGAACCAATAATATTTCCAAAGTGAAAAACAACTGTCCACCCAAAACTACTGCCCGTGACAACAGCCAACAGTGCAGGTGAAAGAGGCCATTTCAGACCAACGAAAATGGAAGAACTTACTACTATAGCAGCTTAAGAAATTTCTAAAGGATGTCACCTTCAGCAGAATAAGATCCAAAACACGGCATGAAAATAAATATAAACACTATAGAAAGCAATAATAATAAAAGACTAATAAGTATAACATTAAAATTAAAAAGCTGTATTCACTGAGAGAGACCAGAGTGAAAAGAGGAGACATATCTTTTAAAAGCAACATGCTTAACCAGCTTTGCATCCAGCTGCTATAAGGAAACACACACATGTGTGCATGTATGCTCACACATGTACGCACACAGATATATCAAGTCTACAAATCAGTAAGAAAATGAAATAAACATCTAAAAAGAACAGTGAGTACAACATATGAGAAGATACAAGTGGCCAAAACAAGATGCTCAAGTTCACTGGCAATCTGGGACAAGCACAGTAAGATCCAGTTTCATGAGACCGGCCCAAGAGGCTTGACATGTGGTGCTGGTGGGGCTGAGGAACGGACAGTACAGCCACGCAGGGCAACAGGCTGGCATGGCCCAGAGAGGGAAGCATCACCAGCCCATTGGTCCAGCACCCCATTCCCAGGGCGTATGAGTGCCAGAAAATAAACAAGAAAATGTTCACAACATCACATCTGTGGGTGGTAACATCTGAAACAGGCCATAAGCCATCCACAGGAAAATTAGTTATGAAAATTCAAAAAATGGATTACTAAACACCAATCAAAATAGTCAATTTACAGCTACATGCACAAACATGGATCATTCTCCAAAACAGTTTTGTTTTAAAAAAAAAATCTAAAATAAAAAACATATAATATGATTCCATTTACATAAAGTTTAAAAACATATAAAACTAAAACCATATTATTGAGAAACATTATATACATTATCATTAAAGCCAGGGAATGATAAGCAAACATGCAAAAGTCACGATCGGCCTCCACTGTGGAGAGGGGAGTGGGTACACTGTGGTTCCATTTTACTTCTTTAAGTGATGCCACAAGGTCTATATAGTATTTAATTGTGGGCCTCTGGAAGGACACAGAATAGTTGTTCTGAGTACACAGTGCACGGCTCTTGTTAGTACAAGGCCTCTAGCTCAGTAACCGTAGGAAAGGCTAGTTTCTGCTTTCAAATAATCTTTAACCTACTTATTAAAGCTATGGTTCCTCCCAGTTTGGGGATATTTTTATGTAATTATGATAACAGGAGTACTTATCTATCTAATCTTCTTAAAACATTCTCCCATGTTTTTTTTTTCTTTTATCCTTACCTGAGGGTATGTTTTTATTGATTTTAGAGAGAGAGGAAGGGAGAGGGAGAAACATTGATGTGAGAGAGAAACATCAATGGGTTTCCTCCTGCATATACCCAGACTGGGAATCGAACCCACAACCTTTTGATGCACAGGATGATGCTCCAACCAACTGAGCACACAGCCAGGCATTCTCCCATATTTATACGAATTCTACATCTTCCCCTGTACAGCAAGAATCCTGCAATAAAGCCCTTGGTGATGGATATCTGTCACGCGCTCTCAAGGGCTTTCCCAATATTCTGTTTAGGGTTTGATGTCTCTGCTCATAAGCAACATCTGCTTTATAGTTTTTGTTTTATTGCTGTCTCTAGTACGTTTCTAGGATGAAGGCACTTTTAGCCTCATAAACATCAATAACACTTTTCTAGATTTAGGGGCAATCTTCAGGAGGGTCGACCTTGCATCAACTTTGGGGAAAAACTGAGTGATCCCCCAACAAGTAGGTGCTTTTCTTTTGAGAAACATCCAGCTGGGTCTTGCACCAGCAATCCCGAGTCCACAGCATGTCCCGGTTACCACCATTTACAGTTCTCCTGGGGCAGAGGAAGGATGCCTCCTGCAGTGTGGAGTTTAGATATGTTAACATTATGAGCACTCTGGCACACCTCTCACTGGGGTCCCTAACTCTCCATCTAAAAGCTGAGAACCCTTCAAATAAGATTTTCCAAGTTTCCCTCAGTGTCGTTCCTCCAGGTGACTGTCTTTCCTGTTCCTCCAGAAGCCCAACTGCCCCCACTGTCTGCAGGTCACTTATGTCTCACAGTCAGGGGACCCTATGGAGCCCAGTGCCCTTCTTCTAAGTGACATCTGCCCAGGGCCCATGTTCCCAGACCCTGCAACGCCCTTTCATTTATGCACCTGCAGTCCAGGGAAGCTGTGCTTAAATTTCTAAGAACAATGTGAAGTCTCATTTTTATGGCCAAAAAAGTTCATTTGTTGAGAATGTTTCTACCTAAACTTCTTATTGAATGGATTTTCTTCTCTGCCTTTAGATTTCTCCTGGCTCTTCCTGTCTTTTTTTCTTCATTACTCAGCACTTTGAACACTGTCATCATGAATTTTCAGTGTGACTATGTTGATCCTGACAGTTTGGGTTTGGAAGACCCACACTAGTCAACCATCCTCCTTGAAGTTTGCCTCTCTGCAAAATGACAAAATGCTAAATGAGAACAAAAACTCCAGCAAATTTATTCTCATCACCTAGAACTTATTCACGTAATAAGTCATAATCATGTATAATTAAATGTAACAAATACAACACAAACATAAAGTCATCAATTATAGCAGCTGCAAGTC